TTAGTTACACGAATTCAGATATGAGATGAATTCGGATAGAGATGAACGAGTTTAAGAGTTTTTAAGAGTTTTAAGAGTTTTTAAGAGTTTTAGCCAAATGCTTTATAAGATAGTATATATATATATATATATATATATATATATATTAAGAGAGAGATTTGTTTAGTAAAACTAAATAAAATGAGTAATAATAACGACAGGAATATTAAGGAATCTGACACAAACTCAAGAATAAAAATACTCCATATAAGGATATGTCTCCTTCAAATGATGATGTACATGTACCATTTTTCATCCTCAACACACACCTTGACCTTAAAAACACAATAGTGAATGGACCAACCATACGATATGTAAAAAATTACATACCAAACTTAATGACTTCAAATCTTTATAACCCAGTAAATAAAATTATAATGCAATCAAAATCACAACATGAACATACATAAAATTATAATACGACTAAACTTACGATAAAAACATACTTAAAAATATAATCCAATCAAAATCTTGATACAAACATATATAACATTCTAATACACTGTAAATTACAAAACAAACTTGCATAAAATTCTTACCTTTGATCATAATCATAAATTCCCACAACCCAAACTTGAAAACTTCAAATTTTCAAGAATTGATATATAAACGTTAAAGAACTCAAAAACCTGCAAAGCAAAAAACGGTCAACATAAGTAAAAATTACATAGTGAACGTGAATATTTTAAATCTTCACCTAATACATAAGAGTTATATTGCAAACAAAAATCACGATACAAACATGAATAAAATTATAATGTAATCAAAATCATGAAACAAATCAATATAAAATTATTACCTTATATTGCAACCAAAAAATCAAATATTGAATTTGAAGACTTCTTCAAATCTTCATGACATAATGCATACAAATTATAATGCAATCTAAATAACGATACAAACATACATAAAATTTACAGGAGAAGTGAAAAAATAAAAAAAACCAATGAATATTATTAATAGTAAAATAGAAGAAAAACCAAAGAGAAAGAGAATAAATTTAGAGATGTATAGGATTGAGATAGAATGTGAGAGGGTGTGAGAGATGAAGATGAATAAATAGTTGTTTTTATATATAAAAATAAATGATTGATTGGAAAAAATGAATGGTTTGGAGTTATGTCATTAGAATTAATATAGAAGGAGATGAATGGTTTGGAGTTGAATGCAAACATTTAAGAAAAAAACATAAATTGACAAAAAAAAATATAGTAGTGGATATTGAGAGAATGAAAGAGAAAAAAGAAAAATGAGGAGGCTTTAGAAGAAGCCACCTCAGACATTAGTTAAAAAAACCTCTAAAATCCCAACAAAATTAAAAAGAATTGCATACTCGGATTAATCGTCTTGAAATAAACCTGGAAAAAAATGTAACCATTAAAAAAGGACATGTTAAAGTTTGGTGATGCTACATAAAAAATTATAACAAAAAAAACTTTAAAATCTCAACAAAAGTCAAAAGAAATGCATACACACATTAATTTTCTCAAAGTATACGTGAAAAAAGATAACCATTACAAAAACATGTTGAAGTTTGTTGAGGCTACATTATGGTTGGTAGTACTTTCAAGATTGCATAATCAGATCATTAATCGAACCATTGTTGCCATGAAAACTCTAAAAATGTTGTCAAGAACAAATACTCCGTTTCATTGGGAAAACTTAGGACAATTATAGAAGAGAAAAGTAAAAAAAAAATTCTAAAATCCCAACAAAAATAAAAAGGAACGCATACTTGAATTAGTCTTCTCGAAATAAACTTGAAAATATATTTGTTGAAAACTAACAATTTATGAAATGAAAAACAAATCAAGTGATARAGATGGAGAAAAATAGATTGAATGATGAACAATTCATGAAGAAGAGTTAGGGAAAATGAAAGGATTATGTTAAATGCAAACATAAATGAATAATCAATGTTTATAAAAATTAAAAAAAAAAGAAGATTAAAGAATGATGAATGAAAAAAAAAGATAAATAAGTTTCTAACCTTTAGAAGAAGCCAAGTCATCAACCTTGGTTTCTCCTTTAATATATATATATATATATATATATATATATATATATTTATATATATATATATATAGATATATGGATTATTCTTTCTTTAAAGACTTATTTAATTATTACATTGTATCAGAATCAACAGTTACCGATCTAAGGACTTATTATATATAACTGTCTGGGGCAATGTTAAAGTCATCTGGCCTGTTACCTGCCAGCATATGTTTAAGACAACATATGTTTAAGAGGGGGGGGGGGGGGGGGGGGGGGGTTATATTCACACATTAACTATATACTTGGATAATTTCTCTTCGCCATATGTAGAAATGTTTTTTTTATCCTTGAAAATTAGTATTTGTAATTAGA